GCAGACCATGGCTACCGGTCGACATCAAGCTTGAAGCTTAAACAACAAGACGCAGACCAGGTCATGGTGGTGGCGCGGACAAAAGGGAGGATGAAAATGAAGATGGTAGGGTCAAGGCTCGCCATCTGACGGTTTGGCCCTCGGGCTGCGCACCAGAGCGGCCACATGGATGCACACTGCTCAGCTAGGACCGATGAAAGTCAACGCACATGGTCGTCCTTTCCTCTGTCTTCCCGTTGCATAACGCCATCTCACGTCCAAAGCACCTAGCAACTCCGGCGGCCTGCATGGCAGCGCCGCCGCAGCACCAGCATGCAACACTCCCGCTTGCAACATGTCACAGCACGACGGTGCTGGCAGCACCGGCTCGCAACAACATCACCCGTCATAGCAACTCCGTCTGCCTCGCAGCACGGCGGCGCCGTCGCAGCACCCACTCATAGCTTGTCAATGACTGTCGTAGCACTGGCACGACGGCATTGTCGGAGCATCACCAGAGCAGCCCGAAAACACCATTGCAGCAGTTGAGCTGCCGGCGCAGCACTGGCTCACACCATGACAACGCCATCGCAGCATCGCCGGAGCAGCCCGAGCCACCGTTCGCAGCAGTTCAGCCGCCATCACTGAGATGTCGTTGCAGCACGGCGGCGCCGCCGCAGCATCGCCGGAGCGGTCTGAGCCACTGCCGCAGCTGAGATCCCGTTGCAGCATCGCTGGGTTGTTGTCGCAGCCTTGCAGTGGGCTCGCAGCAGCCGGACCAGCCTCGTAGCGCCCTCGCATCACTTGAAAAGAGAGCTAATGAAGGCCATCCATGGTGGATGAGATCCCCACGGGATGGAAGAGAAGATGGGGAGAAAACGGTTTGACCAGGAAGACTGAGGACGTGTGGCTGAAAAGATATCCCACGAAAGGCTAGACAGAGGTTATATCGGTGGTGGGGTCCAGGGGACACGTGGCAGTCAGAGGAGACAGCTGCGCGAAGGAGCGTTCGCATCCGGATGAGACAGGTGTAACGGGGAGTATCATACATATGATACCAGTGTATGATACTATCTTTATAATACATAGTTATATTAGTATCAATGTGGTACTTTATTTATTATCATGCATGACACAAAGTAGCATAACATTAATTATGATACAGTGTCATGATATGATACTCCACTTTCTCTATCTTCATTTAATGCTACGACATCTCATCAAAATTTTCTAGTTGACATGCATGATACTAGCTATGATAGTACCACTACGACCAGCCTGAAACCAAGCAGTGGGCCAGGGTGCCATGAAATACCCTCACACGGTCTCTGACCATACAGGCTATATCATACAGGCTATATTGTATTGCAAGGTATGATCTTTCCCACCTCCTGTACAATCCGCACCAGCAAAGGAACGCATGAAACAGGGCGCAAAATAGAGATTTTCACATAACAGGTATCACAACATTGGCAAGGACTAAACAGCGAGTCATCATCTGCATACCTTTCATTCGTGACAACCTAATTACAGAAGTCACTTTGAACAGGTCGGGTCAGAAAGAATTAAAACTGCATGGCTAGGGTAACTTGAAGAAGCTTCAGTAATCAAATATGAGGCGGCCCTCTGCCAGAAGGATCTGGCCCTCTGTAGGGGTACTGTGGAGGCATGTCCCTTCCATATCCAGGCACATCATGAACACCTCGCATTGCGTAGTTCGTTTCATCGAGGGGTGGAGCATATCTGTCCATTACCAAGCTTCTTCCTGGTGCATTTGCGCCCAAGTAACCAGGAGCGTAGCTGTCCATGACTGACGGTCCAGATCCACTTGAACCCGAGAACCCTGGACTGTACTTGTCTATGACTGAGCTCCGTGGAGTTGTACTCAATAGCCCATAAGACGGCGAAGTTAAAGATCGCGGGTCATATCTTGCACCTGAAGAAACAATCTGGTCATATCTAGCACCTGAAGAACCAATCTGGTCATATCTAGCACCTGAAGAACCAAGGGAGTAAAGACTGGTCTGAAGGTGATCATCCTGCCTCCTGGAGAAGCTGCCACCATTTCCCTGACCTTGCGGACTGCACGCGTCCCCAGCTCGGCCAGGGGCATACCTTTTGGTCATCTCTTCAATGCTAGAGTTGTACGCACTTGACCTATCATCAGCACCCGTGTAAAAAGTGGGGTCATTCCTCTCTCCAATTGCATCCTTGCGCCCATCACTGTTTGCCAAATAACTTCCCTGATAAGTAGTAGCGCTGTTGAATGTAGAGACGCGAGGTTCTTTCACATGATACTTCATATTACTATCGCGGTGCGCTGTCGTATAACCAGAGGGTTGTTCAGTTGGTATAAATGGGGAATTGCTTCTGGATCTGTGACGAGCAGTGCTGTTTTCAAGGGATGATGACATACTCATGTCTGAACTCCCTTTCGATTCCTTTACACGAGCATTAGTTCCATTGCTCTGTCCATGGTGCATACCCCTTTTACTTGGAATAGCTCTTGTCTCCTCATAGGCAACTTCCACTTGCTTTTCTGGAGGGAGGCTGTCTGCCTCGTCAGGGATCCTTTTCCTGCTCCTGTCATCAGAGCTCTTGCTTCCATCCCTGCTATTCTGTTTCCCTGGTCGGGAAATTTGTTGAGAGGTAGCTTCAGCTTGTTTCTTCAGGGGGTGGTTACCTGATAGATTAGCTTCTTTTTCTTCTCTGGGCCTAGCTTGCTTCTTCACCGTGAAGTTGGCCTTTCTGGCTGCTTTCTCTTCTCCAAGTCTATCTTGTTTCTTCACAAGGTGGTCATCTGAT